CGCGCCGGCCAGGAGGCCCCGAAAAATGGAGCTGGTGCGCCGCGAGCCCGGGGAAGCCAAGTGACACGTCATTTTTACAGTGTGACCTTATTTTCCCCTTCCAGACACGCAGGCTTTCTGAAAAGCGGAGAAGAGAATTAACCGTAGCGGCTGCCCCCCGCGGCAGCGCCCCCCAACAGCCCACTGACACACACACCCTTCCCCGCGGGGCGGCCCCGTCGCCCCATTGAGAGCGCTTTGTGAGGAAAGGGGGAAGGGGCGGCCACAGATCAGAGGGCTGGAAAATGACATTTGTCTGCAAATGGCTTCTGGGTCTGGAAATGGCGTGGGGAGGATTTTTTTTTTTTGTCCTCTTCATGGGGGAGGGGGTAGGAGCCCGCAGGAGAAGACTTTCCCAGGTGGAAGGAGGCAGAAGACACTAATTAGTTGTTTGTCAAGTGACATTTGGTTGTTTGGTTTGGGGTTTTCTCTTTTGATTGCGGTTTTTCCTCTTTGGCCAAACACACACACACACACACACACACACAGGCCTGGGTGGGGACCCTGAGGAGAGGCCTTGCCTCCCTGTTTTTTCTTGGAGGGGCTGGTTTGGAGAAAAGCAACAAAATGCAAGAAACATAACATAAATCGTTGAAATGACAGAATTACAGAAGCGTTCGTTAGTGTGGAAGTTTTCCACCTCCCTGGTGATTTGGGCCTCTGAGTTCATTTGTGAATTGGCTGCGTTAAGGCCGCTTGATGGTCACACTTCAACAAAACGGCTTGATTATAAGAATAAAAGTGTAAAGGGCTGTTCTCTTTGTGATGGTGTTGGTATGTTTTTGTTTTGTTTTGTTTTGTTTTGTCTTGTCGACGGGTCAAGTCTTTGTTCTCCTGGGTCCAGATTTATATAAAACAAGGTTAAGTGAAAATAAGTTTCTTTGATGTTGATGCATTTGTAATTTAAGTAATTTCATGATACCTACGTTGTGGTCTTATCTCAAACTTCTACAAGTAGAATTATGTATGTGAATATTAATATGCATACAATTTGATTTCAAAGCATAAGCCTAGAACAGTCTGGAAGCCTTCCTAGGATACCTACCTGGCTAGCTCAATACTAATTTAAAACAAGTGTGATGCTCATGTACCTTCAATTTTTAACACCTTTGGTGCAGTGATTACAAAGTCTCCACTTCATTTGAGACTGTTACTCTGACACACCTTGCATCACAGGCCAATCTGCCCCAGGTGGTCTGGTGGGAGC